AGATTGTGCATTTTTGCGGTAAATCGAGCGGATTCGCGGATTTTAAAAACACGGTGGATCATGGATCTGCAGTGAATTTTGGTGCGGATTTCGGACTGTGCCTGTCTTGACGTTCGGATCTTGGGTCCTAATCCAAATTTGGATCATAGATCTTTCACCAGCCTTGGTCGGCATGTTACTAAGTTCATTCAATTTATATATTTCTTTTATCGAACGAAGCTCATTCAAACTCAGGTGCGAGACTGTTATTGGAATTGTACTGTGTCATTGAACGTGTTGCCTTCTTTACTGCTTGTGCAAAATTAACAATGGCATTCACATTTACCAGTTTAACTTTGAACTTTTGCACTTCTGTTTCCGGATGTGGTTGTGGTTTCGGATTTGAACAAAAATATTGGCAGATCGACGGATTTGGCGGAAAAAAGGCATGGATCAGCGGATTTAAATACCCTTATTCACCCCCCTCACGTATAAAAGAGAAATGCCAAAACATTACTAATTATTGTATATGGATGTAATCGGCTTGTCTTAAAGTCAGTTGTCTTTTTGCTAAATAACACTGGCTATCAAAATTATAAAGATAAAAACACAAACGACCATATGCTGTTTGCTATAAAAGGGAATTATTGATATCTTCAATCTTAGCTCTCTAAATACATATACGTAAAATGAGACTTAAGAGCCACCAAAGTTTTTACCCTCATCAGGCATAAGAGGAGGTAAATTTATATGTGTTTACAATTCAGCCAACGCATTTTGATGGCGGTGCGTGACACAGAGCTACAATCGCGTTTGCCGAAAAATATATAAAAGGTTGTTGAGATCCACAGGCTTTCTATAAGTAGACTGTTGATTGCGAAAACGCGCCCACGTGCATGGATATTTCAAAGTGTTCCTCACCTGCGCCGATCAGTTAAAGGCCGATGCAGAGTTGAAGAGGTCTCGTTAAAAACGATATGTCGCAGTTCTCGTACTCTATTGTTGTGCACTGTACTACTGCGTGTAATGTATCAACTAGATACCCCGATCGTGCGCAGTTTTTTCCCTTGAATGCTTGCGTCAGTGATGTAAAGGCGCGCTTGAGAGAATTACAAACAACACAATCATGTGTAGCCTCTGAGAGGCTACACATGTGTCGGCTTGTTTGATGAGGAGGGTGAGGATATGGTTATTTGCCCAAAGCATCGCGCTTTACTTACTCACTTACTTACTTATGCCTAGTGCCCCTCCTGGGGCATAGGCCACCAACAAGAGTTCTCCAGCTATCTCTGTCCTGGGCTTTCCTTTCTAGCTGACTCCAGGTCAGCCCCACTCTCTTGATGTCTGCTTCCAAGTCTCGTCTCCACGAGTTCCTAGGCCGTCCCCTTTTCCTCTTTCCCTGGGGATTCCAAAACAGGGCTTGTCTTGTGATGTTGGCAGGCTTTCGAAGAGTGTGGCCTATCCATCTCCAACGTCTCATCATGATCTCAGCATCTGCAGGCCTTTGGTTGGTTCTTTGCCATAGGTCTTCATTGTTGATGGTGATTGGCCAACGTATCCGCAAGATTCTTCGCTTCGCTTTACTTAGAGTAAAATATTGTCCTTCAAGAAAGTGCCAGCATCCGCTGCATGGTCGCCGTAAGGGTAAAGTATCCAGAGGGATGAATTTGAAAATGTCGAAAGAGATAAGGGAAACGTGGGATGTTTTGGTTCCCGTAGGCTAAGGTAAGCCTGATCTCTGAAAGTAAATACGGTACTCATGCATGCTTTGGTTTCTCGATGATTTCGCCCCATGTAAGGGAATCAAGACAGTTTTGGATTCTGGATTCCACGCAGTGGATTCCGGATTCCAGGTATTGTATTCCAGTCTTAGTCAGTGGAACTTGGGTTCCGGATTTCAATCGTTAGTGGGATTCCGGATTTCAAAGCCCAAGATTCCGGATTCTACAAGCAAAAATTTGACGGATTCCGGAATCCGGAGTCCCTTACATGGGGCGAATGATGGAATAATACACTAGTTTAATCAATTGTTTTATTGATAGACGCAATATCAGAGTGGGAAAGGAGTTTTTTTTCTTTTTTTTTGTGGGGGAAGAGGGTGAGGGAGGATGGAAGATCTTGTAAGAAATTAGTTATGAGTTATAGGGTATGATATTTATTTCGCAAAAGAAAAAGAAATAAATAGGCAATTGTGTACTGAATTTTGATCAACAAGAGTTTTATTCTATTTTGAAATCTTCCAAGTCAATTTGCCCTTCCGTTGTTTTATTTTTTGTATGTTAGCTGAATTCCCTTCTAACCGGAGCCCATGGTCTTAGGCTTCTGCTTCTAATCGATCATTTTTCTCAGGAGGGGCGTGAGGCAGGCCAATTCCTTCAAAAGCTACAGTGACTATACAGATATTTTTTCGCTACACTTCAGGACCAGGCCTCCTCATATAAAACACGGTGTCAATTAAGAATTGAGTGTTCTAGGACGGGGCGTGAAAATGAGCGCCTAATTAGTCCATTGAAAAAATGAG